AGATAGTCAAAAGAAGGCTGACTCAGTTGACCCACCCCCTTTGCTGGAAAAAAATAGGTTTTGATTCTATATAATTAACCAGCTTTGTGACTCTGCCTAGTTCCTAGTGATCACTTTAAACAGGGACAGCACTGTTCTCATTCACTCCAGCAAACAGAGCTCCACGAGGCTCTACTTTCTGGAATATTCTAGCCACTTCCTAGGCTCCGATCCCATTTTGAGTCTCCTTAACTTACACAGTTTCTTAACTCCACCCAAGGAGAACTACTGTGGAGGAACAAGACAGGATGTTTGAGACTTGGGTTCAAAGAGGGGAACTGCCCAGGAACCAATGAGTGGAGCAGTTAATCACCAGTGACTGGTTAAAGAACCCACCTTCTGTCCACCTTCTCCTCACAAACCAGAACGTTTCAGAGCAGGATGTTCTCTGACATTCAAGAGGTTTATCCTCCAAACTGCAGATGAGTAGTAAGGAGAATTAGCCATACCACAAAAACAACCTGAATCCCAGTAATATGTCCTCATCTTTTGTGAATTATTGGGTTGAGAATTATTTTTCTCTGCTAGAAAAAACAGAGAATGTTACCAGTGTTCCTAATTCCATCTGATTCCCAGGAACTTCCCCTTTGTGGGGGAGCAGGCACCAAAATGACCTCTCTGGCTGATTAAAGAACACAATAGTTACCTAGAACTCCCAACCAAGGTAAAGAGACCTAGAAGAATGAGAAATTATACACTCTTGCAAGTATCCTCCACGCGCACAATTAAAAAAAAAAAAAAAAGAGACAGAACAGTTCAATAGTTACCTAGTCTTCCCAGTACAAAATACAGAAACCACAGGAAGGTACGCTTCCTCTCATATACATTTTCCAAGAATGATGATGCATCATCTAAGTAAGATGAGCAAGTGTGGTCTAGGCAAAGCAGAGAGGAAAGAGTTGTGAGTTTGGAACTGGTGGGGGGGACGGGGGAGAAATGGCAAAGCCAGGTTTGGGCCTCTCTAGTTGGGGGCAGGAGTAGAAAGCTTGAGTCTGCCTGGTTATGGCTGTGTGGCCAGAATTCTGGAGCTCCTTGCTGTTTGCTCACTGTCCATGGTAGCTTCATTAGCAAAATATAGTCAAGAGTAACCCTGAGAGATACCTTTTTAAAAAGTAACTTTTCTTCTAAGAACTCCAGGGTCACAACTCAGTCATTATTAGAATGCACAATAGTGGAAGGAGAGTGTCCCTCAAATTCCTAACTTCATAGGCTAGAACAGTGGTTCTCAAAGCGTGGTCTGCGACCATCTTGCAGGTGGGCCATGAGCTCAGGGCTAACTGCCCCTGCAGTGGGGAGCTCAGGGCTAATCCCATCCACAGGTTGGAGCATGAGTATCAGCTTCCCAGTGCAGGGGGAGGGGTGGAGTCTCACAGGCTAGATCCGACTTGCAGTGGAGGAAGTGGTTCCATATGCTGCCACTCCTCTCCCTTCCTCCAGCTGGGGAAACAGCAGTGCAGGAAACCCCTTGCCTGGAGGCTTTCCCCACTGCTCCCTTTGGCCGGAATCATGGCCAACGGGAGCAGCAGGGAATAGTGCCTGGAAGTAGCAGGGGACACGGAGCCACATAAGTGCCCTCCATCTCCTCATGCCCAGACCTTGCACCCTCATTCCCCTCCTGCACAAACCTCACAACCCACCTCCTAACCAGACCCACCCCCATCCTGAGCCTGCTCTTGCACCCAGCCTCCCCTCCAGGCCCCTCACTCCTACCCTGCTCCTGCAACCTACTCGCTGGCCAGACTGCCCCCCACTCCCTTCTGCACCCATTTTGTCATCATGGACAGTTGGCTGGTGGTCCACGGAAAGGTCTACATTGAGTGGGGTGAGCCACAGGCCAAAAAGATTGAGAACCTCTGATCTAGAATATACAAGAGGTTCCACATGTGGTGGAGAATTAACAGTGCATTGCTGGGCTGACCCATGTAAAGATTATGACAAAGGGAGAAGCTAGTTTTAATTTTGTTAGTTGTATTATATTTCAAGGCTTTTTCGTGAAGTGTCCGGAGGGTACAGGGAAGTCCCAGGATCTTTCTTTATAGGGCAGAGACTAGAGATGTGGTCGATTATCCGATAAGCAAAAATTTATCCGATAGTCAGCTAATCATTTCCACCCTCCCTGCTGTCTCTATCAGAAAGAGGCAGCAGGGGAAGAGAAGAGGGTGCTTCAAAGTGGAAGCACCGCATGGTGCCCAGACCGCGAGCTCCACTTGGCGCTGCCACTTTCAAACACCGCATGCAGCCCTGCGTAAGCTGGGGAGTCCCCAAGCTGCATGCATTTCAAAGCAGCAGCGGTGCATGGAGCCTAGGGTCAGTGGGGGGAGTCCCTAGCAGTGCTCCCGACAGCGCTTTTGCCTTTGAAGTATAGCAATAGCCCATGGGCTGTTTCTGCACTTCAAAGGAGGAGGTGCCCTTATCAACTAATCGAATAGTCAATGCAAATTGCATCAACTATTCAATTACTGGAAATTTAACATCCCTAGCAAGGGCAGTTCACAAAGAATCCAGGACAGACCCCTTCCCAATTCATTTCACAGTCAGGCTGTGGGTGGAGACAGGCAGTGCAAACAGGTTTAATTGAGAACCTTGATTGTTATCTAAAAACAGTCCCAGTTTCAAAACAAAAGGCTGGAGCACAGCATCAGAGAACTCTGCAACTGGAGGATTTTAAAGGCTGTGCTACCTGCAGCACCAGTTCATTTATTTAGCCTGGCTACCGGGCAGCTAGTCCCACTAGAAAACACAGGATTTACAGTACTAATGGCAGTTTCTAGGGTTCTTGTGTACCTGACAGGCTTAGTGTCTTTCCAGCATTCTCATGCTTTCATTGAGAGAGGAACTGAGTTGCCTACCACAAACCCTGGGAATGCAAGTTCCCACCATGAGCGATAGGCGTGTCTGTGAGGGGCATGCCTGGAGTTCTTTCCCACACTAGAGTGGACTAAGTCTAGCAGCATCCCTTCTCCAGCAGTGGTTAATGCTAGATACATCAGAGGAAGATGAGACATCTCTTCTACCCTAAGAATACAATCCCAGTTAAGCACAGCATGCACACCACTGTACAAGACACAAAAGCAGAGATGATTCCTGCCCCTGAAGAGCTCCCAGTCTAGCATGAATATACATACTAACATTGGTACTTGGAAACTCCATGGTGGATTTTATCAGCTGGGCATTTGAATGAAGAAACAAACTAACAGGTTAAAGAAGCAACAGTCCATGCAGACAGTGTAACAGCCACATGGATCAAGACTCACAGCTGATGAAAGCAAAACAAATCCCCCTAGTCTAGAAGTACAACAGCATGGCTCCACAAAAGCAGTTCCTAGCTGCACCCTGCCAAATGCAGCACTGCAGACTCCCATTTCGCAACTCACAAGGAGCTGCAAAAACACCGCCCTGTCTGCACCTCTGCTTCAGTGTCATCCAACAGTTCTAGGGTGACCAGATGTCCCAATGTTATAGGAACAGTCCTGATATTTGGGGGGTTTTCTGATATAGGTGTCTATTAACCCTCATACTCTCTCCCATTTTTCATATTTGAGATCTGGTCATTCTATATGGTTCCATCACACCTCATTCTCCTCTGCCTCCTCCTCACTTTGTGTACTACCCCTCAATTTGCAACAGCCACCAGCTTCCTGCAAGTCACTCGCCTTTTTCTTTTTCAAGCCTCCTCAGCCATTACATCCCATGTGCATTAGCCATTGGTTTGAACACCTGGCTAGGGCTGGATTACAAACTCCTTGGGGAAAGGTTTTATTTTGACATGATCTATAAAGCTAAATAAATACACAGGGTAGGTTCAATATTAGAGAGGAGAGAGCGAAAGGTCCAGTCACAGTCATATCTTGCTTCAATTGTGATAATAGAAGGCAGGAGTCCAACTGCAAGTGCTCCCAAGAGGTTTGCTCTCCAGCCAGAATCTGACAGCTCAGTGTTGCTGTGAGCTGGTCATGATACATCAAGACAAGGATTCACAAAGCCAGCAAGGTATGTCGCAGGTAAGTGATGTGTGAATACAAAAAGACTCCCTGCCTCTGCTCTTCTCTGGCTATAGAAATCCCACATACCGTTTGAAGTGTTAGTTTCACATATGCACAGAACTGTACAGCAAGCCTCCTGTGTAAAGCAGGACAATTTAGGCCACAGCTGAGAGAGCAGAATTAGCTGAACAGCCTCCCCTTTCCTTTAAGGGATCACAGCATCCACTTGCTAGCCAGGGAGGCAGCTGCTCTCCAGACTTGCTCCAGCAACTATAATTGAAAGCAAACTTTAAAAAAAATGACGGCTAGTTCTGTGCCAGGAATCTCCTCCTCCCACGCTGGGTTAGTGCTCCGGGAACCAAGGAGTCAAACTTCTTCAGAGAGGAGGTCCCTGTAGCAAGAGACATGTAACCCTTCCCATCCCTACAGAAGAAGGGATGCAGGGAACAGTTGCCCTATAACTGAACACTGCGAGAAAGACACACACACAGTGCCCTGCCTTTGTTTAGTTAAGATTACGCACATGGACAGTGTGGGGGAGCCCCCAAGCACCCCCACAGCCGAGAAGGTAGCAGCTTCCTGAAGAATAAACTCTTTTCCAAGTGACTTATAACTAGGAAGACATTACTGAAAACACAACTAAACTGAATATTGTAATTGCAATGAATTGCCTGTTAACTTAGAAGGGGGAGGGAAAGGGGAAGGTGGATAATTACAGTAAAACTTGAAGAGCTACCCTTATCCTATCGATCTAATCCACATTTTCTTTCAGGACTTTGCTAAGTCCCACAAGGGAAAGGATTTGCAGGATCCCAACCCAGCAGCACCAGAGAGGGCTGGTTTTGTCTATTTAGAAACAGTTAGCAAAGGTCAGAATCCTCAAAATCCTCACACGCCCAACCCAAAGGACGCGCGAATGGTTTGGGCACCGGGTGCTCCAAATCTGGGAGGCGGGGATAGGGGAGGTTAAACACTCACATAGTGTTTGTTGGGGGTTCGCCTTTTCTGCACGTCCAGCACCTTCACCTCCAAGATGCTCCTCCGGGGCATGGCTCTGTCCTTTGCAGTCTGCCCCCTCCCCCCAAAAGGCAAGGGAAAGGTACAAATAATCCTTTGGGCTACAAAGAAAAGAGGGGGTAGAGCAAGAGATCGGGGCTTGGTGCGGTGCAGCGCAGCTCCAGCCACACATACAGCGGCCAGGCTTGAACGAGGGAGCAAGCCTCGAGTGGAAAGGGGCGAAAAAGAAATGCCCACCACACCACGATCCGAGAGGCGCTCAGCTGGGATAGCAGCGCCTCTGCCACCCGCGCCTCTCTCCCTCCCCTCTCTCCAGAGTTTGCAGATGGACGACTCCTTCCTCCCAGCCGCCCCTGCCGGAGCCACCCGCGCCTCTCTCCCTCCCCTCTCTCCAGAGTTTGCAGATGGACGACTCCTTCCTCCAGCCCGCCCCTGCCGGAGCAGCCTATCCAGCCCGGGCACGGGCAGTGAGCTATGCGCTCAGACCCAGCCCAGCTCTTAAAGGGCTACGAGCGCGACTAAGGCTCAGAGCGCCAGCAAGCCCGTGGGCAGCCGGCAATGCGCGAGGGCACCGATACGTTCCAGTTCCAGGACTAGCGAGTTTCTCCAACATCTCTGCCCCCAGGGCGCTGTCCCTTCGCAGTTCCCTCCTGCTCCCGCTAGGACTGGCTTTGGGGTCCTGTTCATCCCCCGGGAGGCAGCCAGATTCCCCGGGGAGAGGCAGCGCCGGGCAGCCTCTAGCAGCGGTTTGCAACCTTTTTTTCATTTGCAGCCCCCTAGACATGTCGAAGGGAGGGTGGAAACCCTCGACGGGCTGCTGAGGCCCACAGCTGTTAGGCTGAACCCCTCTTCTGTGCGAGGACAACCCTTCCCAGACTCAGCAGCTGCTCTCGGCACGGGACCCTGGGGGAGACCGAAGTCGGGCGGGGATGTTCAGCCTTGCTCTGAACGGTAGCGCTCTTCTCCCGCCCACAGGATCATTTTAGCCACACGGGTCTCCTCCTCTGGCCCCCGCTGTCTTTTACCGAGGGAGGCTGCGCCGCAGCAGCTAAAAGCCGCCCAAGACAGGCAGCTTCCATCCCGCACGGGGGAAGCTCCGCGGCCCGTTTGGAGGGGAGGAAGGCGGCCTCCGGGATGGGTGCTCTTTGTGCTCATCCTGCAAGGGCGACTCGTCCCGCCAAGCCCCAGCGCTGCGCCGGGGAATTGCACTCTGGCAGCGCCGCGCGCGGGTCCCTGCTGGCCCCTACAGGGCAGGGCCGAGGCGCAGCTGCTGCGGCCGGGAGACGCGCTGGGAGTTGGCAACAGCTCAGAGGCTGGGGCAGTCAAGCCAACGAACGAGCCCGGCTGGCTTGTTTCGGGGCGCGAGGGCGATAGGGAGAGCGTGAACCCAAAGGATTTGGGGAGGAAGGGATGGAGGAACAAGGTGCTGGCTGCAGCTCCCACCGCCCGCCCTGAAAGCCCATACACTGTCCTGGGTGCAGATTGGGTAGCTCCCTGCGAGACGCTAGGCGTGCGGGGGGCACTGTTTTCACGCCCCCATATTGCCCACCCAACCCTACAGATGTGCTCATCAGGCACCTAAAATCACAGGGTTGCCTTACAAAATCACCAGATTTTTAAAACACACTCAGGGAGGGAGGCTTGAGAGGGTCCTGTTTTCTTTCCCCCTAACTGTGAAGACTAATAAACATACTTAGTCAGCATCATGGGACCAGCCACCTCTTCATAATAGGGATGTCAGCATGTAGTTTACTGCACCATTAAACAGCCTGACGGATCGGTAGCTATCTGACATGGTGAGCTTTCACCAGGGAAATGGCGACCCACTTCTGGAAGGGGATGGAGGGTCACATGTGAGTGTCCCATCACCTGAGGGGACAAGCCACTCACACAGCTCCAGAAAGGTCTCCTTCCACATGCAGAAGTTCTGGAGCCACTGCCGGTCACCCCACTGATCCATGACAAGTCAGTCCCACCAGATGGAACCGGTGTCCAGATGCCAGAAGCAGTGGTGCAATGTGCAGGGGAGATTGGGTGGGATCCAACAGCATGAGCCATGCCCACAGAGAGGCAAGAAAGGTCTCCAAGAGCAGTAGAGGGTTGGGTTCCTGCAGGACCTGGGAGGCAGTCTACACTACGGAAACTGCTGCATGAGATGCAGCACAGGCTGCAATAGCAGTCGACTGTCCAGAGGGCGCGCCGGTTCCATGTCTAGTGAGCTGAGGTGTCTGCAAGGGCAACCGTATGAGGCAAAAAAAAAAAAAAAAAAAAAAAAGGCTTTGCTGTCCCGCGAGGAGGTAGGAAAAGGAAAAAGCCTGCTATACAGGGGATCCCTTTAAGCAGGACCTGACAGAGGCAGCAAGTGGGAGGAATCAACTAGTTGAGGAACTAGGTGCTTACAGCCCATGTCCCAGAAGGAGGGTGGGTTGCTGGAATGGAGTTCTGTAGGGGGTGCAAGGTTTTTTCAGTCTCACCCTCACAAAGCCCTGCCGAGGGATGGGATAACTGTGGGATAAATTTTTGAAACAATAAACTCTGTGTGGTTTTTATTTGGGATCAAAACAACTAGGGAGGGACTGGGGAAAGAACCTGGGAGAGGGGAGGGGAAAAAGGGGGAAAGAAGGGCAAGATGAGAACCTTGGAGGTGGGAGAAGGGAGCTGGAAGGGGGAGGAGAGATGAGGAGAGATTCAGGGATGCAAGTGGCACCTGGCTCTGGGGATCCCATCACCATGGGCGGAGGGAGGTTGGCAGAGAAGCGGAAAGAGTCAGAGCAGGCAGCATGCCAGCAACCAGGATTGCACAGCCACGCAAATGCTGCAGCCTTGATCCAGCATCTCCCGCTAGATGTCTCACCACAGCTGGATATCTTCCTGAAGCCTGTGGTCTAAGGACTGCTCCATGGATCCGAGGTGCTCTCTCTGGAATTCATCCATGGGTCTCCGGTGCCTGCAGGTCCCTTTGGTTTGGGAGACTGCCCCAGGTGGTGTTGATCGCTCCCTTCTCGCAGCTGGTCTGGCTGTGGAGAAGAGAGAGAGACAGTCAGTCATCCCAGGATACACTGTGCATGAAACCTAACCCTCATCTCTGAGCCAAGAGCGAGTTCTCTGCTCAGACTAAGGCAATGTGTCCAGAGCAAGGCCATGTGGGCTCTAGCCAATGGACCCTTGCCTGCAGAAACCCAGATATCCCTGGGGGCAGGGAACCTCACCTACCCCCCTGTCCTGGGGACAAGCAGGCATGGGAAGGTACCAGCCAGACCATGATCCTGTGGGCAGGAGGGGGACTCATGAGATGGCTAAGATTCACTCCATGCCATGCCCTGCTGGGTCCAGCAGTGGCGGTGTCCTGCAGGGTGAGGACTTGTATCCCAGCCTGCTGGGGGAGATAGGAACAGGATGTTGGGGGAGGGGGGTAGGTGTATGTGTGAGTGGCAGATGCTCCTGTGGCTTGCTGGCTCAGGGAGTGGAGGCTGCCCCGAGATTGTGGGCATGAGATAGGAACAGGATGTTGGGGGAGGGGGGTAGGTGTATGTGTGAGTGGCAGATGCTCCTGTGGCTTGCTGGCTCAGGGAGTGGATGCTGCCCCGAGATCGTGGGCATATCTGTGCATGGCATGGGTGGGTGGGTGGGTGGCCTTGTCAGGCTCGCTCTCCTTCTAGTCTCTGTCCCCCAGGAGGGCGACGACAGGCATCTTGAACCCTGTGCTCTCAGGCCCTGGTATAGGCCTGGCAGAGCTCTTAGACTTTCCTCCGCACCTGCTCCTGGGTGTAGATATGTCCTTTGGTGGCCAGGCTGTTGGCCATCCTGCCATAGACATCTGCGGTCCTGTGTCTGATGCGGAGATCCTGGAGGTTTGCCTCCTCTCCCCAGACCTCAATGAGGTCCAGGATCTCTGCACCAGGCCAGGAAGGGATATGCTGATATGGGGCTGGCTGGGATCAGCAGACTGGCTCATTTGGCAAAAAAAATTGAGGCCGTGGCAGCTGCTGTGTGGCTCAGGGCTGTCAGGGCCTCCTGCTTGTCACAAGCCCTATCCTCGGAGGCTGCAGCTTTCAGGAGAAGGGGGGAACCTCCAGGCTGTGTCTACATTGGCAAGATTTTGCGCAAAAGCGGCCTTGCCACCTGTCTACACTGGCCGCGAGTATTTGCGCAAGAACACTGACTTTGTGCTGTACAAAATCAGTGCTTCTTGCTCAAATACTCTGATGCTCCCGCTCAGGGATAAGCCCTCTTGCACAAGTATTCTTGGACAAGAGGCCAGTGTAGACACTCTCTTGCGCAAATACTTTTAACAGAGAAACTCTTCCGTTAAAAGTATTTGCGCAAAATCATGCCAGTGTCGATTTAGCCACAGAGTTTGGCTGAGTATAGACAGAGCAGCCAGCAGGGCACCTTCGGAAGGGCTGGAGGCCCCTTATTTCAAAATAACTGCAGCTGCCCTTGTCTACACAGCCCCTATTTGAAAATAGCTATTTCAGAAAAGGCGTTACTCCTCATAGAATGAGGTTTACCGACGTCAAAATAAGCCGCCCGTTGTTTCAAAATAATTTCCAAACAACACTATTGCTGTGTGTAGGTGCTTGCATGGTGATTTTGGAATAACAAAGTTAACCCTGGCTTTTTATGTCCCCCAAAAGGAGGACCTGGAGACAGAGCCAGTGGTGCCAATTTGGATGTTTCTTGTGGTGGCAGGGGCAAATTCCAATCTCTCTCCACACTGTTCTGGTCTCATCTTCCCTCCTGCAAGAACCCCAGGTTTCCCTGAGCCAGGGAGCCTCCCTTCTCTCACCCACATGCTCCATAAGCCAATGCTGTGAGGAGTCAAGCTCTCCATGACTGCTTATGTGCCACATCACATCATCATTTGGCCACTCACTGTACAGAGGGGCAGCTGAGTCACATTCCATTTGCACTGAGACCATGTACTTGGACCAGTTTTCAAAGTGGTTGGGCCACAGTCCTCCTGGCTCTGTAGTCTATGACTTTTGAGCCAATGACAGACACTTCCTGGCCAAGGGCCTCTGAAGTGGCAATTTTGCTATCCTGGCACTGGTGGAGAGAGTACTGTTTCTTAAAGGACAGGACGGTTTGCCAGTTCACCATTACCCCTCTGCTGGGTTCAGCTTCCCTGCAATCTGCCCCAGAGAGACAGCAGGCGTGTACCTTAGCCAAGGGGAGGGAGGTCATTGAAGAAGGGGATGAGGGTCATCTAGAGCCCCTCCCCACACAAATGCCTTATCCGCTAGTCCACGCCAGAGCCCACCCCACCACCTTACCTTCAAAACATCCCTTATCCCGCCTTCCACTTGTGGGATCCAGCTCCATCCTG